CCCCAAAACCCCAAAACCCCAAAACCCCGAGATTTTCATCAACTATTGAAAATTATATGATTATTATGTTAGTTAATTAAGATCCAAATTTTAGGAAATTACATAAGTTTCAAATATCTTATGATCAACAAAGAAATGAGCTGTGTATTTACAAGATGATAAGAGGAAAGCCTGGCATAGTAAATTACCTTACTAAATATAGCCCGTTCCTTTGCTTACCATAAGCTAGCTCTTCTGCCTCATAAGGCATTGTATTAATAGTCGATATTTATGTGGCTTTGTTCCTTAAATTAATAATTCAGCAAGAGTAATTCTGAATAACTGAGAGAGCAACATTCTACATGCTCAGGACATTCCTGCTTTCTAATTGTCATAAGTCATGATTGAGTCTGAGGTATCCTCATTTCCTATTCTTATCCTGATAGGTCCTGGGCATCAATAAAGAGGATTTTGATGCTTTCAAGTCATGATAATATTGAATAAGTTTAGGTGTAGGTTTACTGGCCCAAAAGAGGCTAAGCACTTTTCCCTTTTTGCAATAAGATGGTAGATGAATTTAATATCAGAAACTGACTTAAACGCTCCTGTTAGCCCTTCTTGGTATTAGCCTTTGATCCTAGATATAATATTATTATATACAAAGAAATCAAAATTTGATTGATAAATACAAAACGAAGCAAATGGAAATTTCTAAAAAGTGCTCTATACAGACTCTACTAGAGAAACTACATTTCCCCCTCTACATGAATAAATTGCCAGTACTTCTGAAAACACATAAACAGAAGGAGCTAGAATAGCTCCTAGTTTGAGCTTTACGTCTCTCACGAAAAACTATAAACTAAGAAAATGATGAAGAAGGGACTTCAAGCCACCATAGACCCAATCTATCATCCCTAAAAATGTCAAATCTCTGGAGAATTGATGCTGCTTTCGCTACTTTTATGGATTCTTAACTGGAGTCAAAGTGGAGGAGACCAAGAAATTATGCTTAAACAGCTAAAGAGGCTTACTACAGACACATCCCTTAATATAACTTCTCAAGTTAAAAGTTCCTCATTTCTTGTTTTTATACCAGGAGTGCTATGAAGTACATCTCAAAGACAGTTACGGCTGTAATGATTATACTTCAAGATACTGAGAATCTGCTCTAGACTCACGATATCGCATAAAGACTATGCGAGGATCTTGATCGCCTGGAATAGTACATCAAATATACAGGTTATGAAGTGTAGGATCACTGTTGACCATCTTGACTACCTTGATAATGCACAGCCTTTGATAACCCAACTCGATCTTCACAGGAATAGGATTATACCACCTGAAGAGGACACTGCAGATATTAATGGTCTCATCCAGAAGATGGCAGATTTTAAGCTCGATCATAGCTTAAAGACAGGAATGATTAGGCTCCCTGTACAATAAAGGTGGGGAAAGGACATGGATATGAAGAAAATTATGATATGGGAAATTCACAGTTAATAGAGCAAGGGTTAACTTCTCTTATTTGCTATTATTGCCTGTTCCTGTTATATTTTAACTCAATTTCTGTGGCTAAAGTGGGGTTTTGGGGTTTTGGGGTTTTGGGG